CTTGTGTATATAAAATTCTGCCATGATTCTGCCACAGACGAATTTCTCTTCTACAATAATTGAAATTGAAACATAACCTTTATTTCATAATTTGTTTCTATCTAAAGCAATTGATTTTGATTATAAACTAATACACAAACGTTCCTGAAATTATAGTTTAGAAATAAGGCATTGAAAACTAAAATTTAGAAGCACTAAATGTTTACTTTAGCTTTTTAGCTACTTTTTTTTTAGCCTACATTTATGATATAATCCAGATGTAATGACTGTAAACAGAAGACAAATGGATCCTTCGCTGGAAATTAGAAAACTCTCCCCAAGATACATAAGGGAGTTGGCTCAGATACTGGAAACTCATGAATTGTGGAAGAGACTAATGTCAATCATACCAAAGACACTGGAAAAGTTTAATTTCGTGTGTAATGTTACCTTAGATAATCCCCACAAATATAATTCAGAACATTTTAAGTAATGCATCTTAAAACTTTTGAAAAAGATGAAGCTTATCAATGGTTTTTTTTTAGGTTAATAGAGAATGCATCGGAAAGGTACAGGAGAGCTTGTACTGAAATATTGCTGGACGAATGGGGAACATCAGGCAGATTGAGACCGGTTCTAGGTCATTTGCTGTACCTCTTAACACAAGCAAAATTGTTTCGAGCTGCGGATTACATTGCTGTGGATCTCCTAAAACAGGAGAAACATCAAAGACCAAGCACTGGCCCAGAAGCTTTGATCTCAATAGTATTATCTGAGCCTGCAAAACAGAAGGATAAACATCTGGAAGAGGTTGAAAGATCATTGGATCAAATCGGTTACCTTGATTCTGCGTTGATGTTAATTAGAACTAATTCCGAGGAGGCGGCTAGACATCAAAATGTGCCTTCAGTGATATCACAAATAGTTATAAGTCCCGATATCGATGAAGACAATCATGGACCACAGTTCTCTGTGCCACTCGTCGTGCAAAGGGAAAGAATCGATTCAGACATAAATAATGACTCTGATATGATGAAATTCTCGACAGGATCTCAGTCAACAACCAGCCAAAATTTGAACGAAACAAAATATAGGCCTGAAATATCACAATTACTTAACGAATCACCGATTTCAGTGAATATTTCAACACACTTGTTACCGAGTATCTTAAACAGTTCACAGAATTCGTCCGACAATTCAACAAAATCACGACCGTGCACATCGCCTTTACCCAATATTTCTCTCAACACTCTTCTGCCANAATAGTATTACCTGAGCCTGCAAAACAGAAGGATAAACATCTGGAAGAGGTTGAAAGATCATTGGATCAAATCGGTTACCTTGATTCTGCGTTGATGTTAATTAGAACTAATTCCGAGAAGGCGGCTAGACATCAAAATGTGCCTTCAGTGATACCACAAATAGTTATAAGTCCCGATATCGATGAAGACAATCATGGACCACAGTTCTCTGTGCCACTCGTCGTGAAAAGGGAAAGAATCGATTCAGACATACATAATGACTCTGATAAGATGAAATTTTCGACAGGATCTCAGTCAACAACCAGCCAAAATTTGAACGAAACAAAATATAGGCCTGAAATATCACAATTACTTAACGAATCACCGGAACTGTCCGATATGATAGCATTTTCATCAGAGACGGTGTCAAGTGGTAGCATCAATGATATTGAATGTGATAGACCTGAGATTTCTCAGTTGCTTAATGGGATGACAGAGTCAAACTTACCAAATTTCGATATGATGAATGAATCTCTCAATGTGAGCAGTGGAGAAAGCTCAGAGAACACCTCTGAAGAAGTTCCTGCTTTTAGTGAACTACTAACCAAAGAATGTAATTGTACTAGCTCAGAAGAGTTACCAGAATTAAATATAGATTCTTCATATGAGCCGAACATTCCAAATTTGAGTGCTTTGAACGATAGTGTTCAACTCGAAACTTTGCTTAATATATCTATTTTGAATGTGACTGGACAAAGTGGAAGTGTGTATATGGAAAACAGTGTCAATTTCGTGCCTGACTTCGATGCCTTACAGAAAAGTACAAATATTATCTCTGAAGTGTCCTTACCAAACATATCAGCACTCGGACTCTCACTCACATCACGCGCCTCGAGTCCAAGTAAAAGTATTTCAGTGAATATTTCAACACACTTGTTACCGACTAC